ACCAACGCTCTGTACACCCACACAGCTTAAGTAGGGCTGTTGTCTGTCAAAAGGCTTAAACAAAATGTGCGTCCAATCAATTCTGGCTCTCCGAATTTATAAGGCTGGAGCATTCAAATCGCTCACGTAGAATTAACTAAATGTTATTATAAAAATCGCCTTCACATCAAGTTAGAAATCGGGGCATCCCTTTTTTAATTCACAGCGACGAGATCCTCACCGCATCAATCAAGAATTGTTAATGTTTGCTTTGCATTCGTAGTTGCTACAAAAGCATTTGAAACTGGATTAGTGGAGGCATGAACAAGTTATGTAGTTGCGGCAATTTAGGACACGATGTAGCAGGGGAAGACCAGCAATTAGTAGTACTGAGTTCTCAACTGTTAATCGCTCTAACAAGCACTCTTCTTGTTTATTTTTTGTAATGTCTTTAGCAAACAGAAGTGGAGCTGCCAACATCCGTTGATTTTCGATGCCAAACCGCATGTTCGTCCACGTATTTTCAAGGTTGATCATGAAGTGAATTGAATGGATTCGCGTTCGTCAACTTTGTCTTCGCACTCTCACATGACCTGATGACGCATCTTTGTTGCTCATGGGGACATATTCGACCATGCTCTTCTGTGCACAATTCCACGTCTACTGACAACATGCTTGTATTTACACTGACATTGAATGCCCACCACATATTCACGCATGCGCTCACGCACACCAAAGTTGAGATGCCAATAAAACATTTGGCTGTGTCATTTTTGTTCTCATTAAACTCACTGAATATCTGCATTTTGTAACCTGGCCAATGCAGCGATGTGTCCGCGGTGCGGTTCAAGGTTGATAGCACAGTACCACACCCGTGCATCTGAGTAGATTTGTTAGCTTAATCTCAGTAGTTATGTTCTGGAAGCATTTGGACTATTCAAGTTGTTCTGCTCATATACCACACTGGTTGGGGCAAAGTGCGTCTCCACCGAAATGTGCGGGTATGACAATTTACAGCTAATGAGGAAACGCAGTGATGGTATTGGCTGAATGTCTATGTCACATTGACTTGCTGTTTTGTGTCTTGCAGAAGGAAGGTTGAATGTGATCAGTACTTGCATTGTGGCAAGGTAGTACGATCGGTAAAAGAAGCTGTGTGTGTTTCAGCTTGCTTTACTGTTTCTCGCAGTCGACTGTCGTAACTTAGTGTGTCTGGCCATGGTGCTTTGTATGACACTGCAACGGGACGCACAACAAGTAATTATGATTTTCAAAACAGCAGTCGCCAGTGGACAATTCAAATTTCCGAAGCATTCATTCGTAATCTGAGAAGGAAAAGAGTCAATGCATATGTTTAGTGCTGTGAATCACATCTAGCTTTAACAACCGTCTGCGTTTGCCATTGAAACCTTCGTTTTTATGTCTCTCCAACTCTCTCAACTTAAAGGCTATTGGTATAATGCAGATAGGTTTTAGAAATCAAAACTGATTCGCAAAGAGATTTGTTTTGGATTGTACTCCTTAATATGCAGACATAATGAAGGACACTACAGCTAATGATGCACACGATTTCGGCGAAGACGTAGCTAATGCGTAAATCCGGACTGCACTCACCGCCTGAATTGTCGCAGATGGTTGTAGCCCAAGCGCGACTGTCTCAAATGCCTTGTTTTATTAGCGGACGGCTGGCAGTTTTTTGTTGATTTTTGAAAAGACCTAACTTGCACCAAGATTCGTCAAATTTCGCTTCCACTCACAACTTTTCATCTTCTTGCAAAGTTTACAACGCTCCTCCTCAAACATGCCTTTATGCTCTAGCAGCACAAGGTTTTAAAATGCACGTTAACACTCTCAACCCCTCATACGCACACACTTAGTCAATCTGAATCAACGGCACTTCTCCTCTCATGTCCCTCTTTTAAACCCCAGGCCTGTGTTTGAACAAAGCGAGCTAGATTAATGTCTTCGCAGGATAATGTCTAGCCTAGATGATCAAGTACCAGCCTTCAAGTCTACACGATCCAAATCGATACCGACTCGAAGGATCCGAGCAAGGCCCAAAGCCGACTTACATTTCACCGCGTCAAAACATCGATTTATCTAGGACGTTTGACTTCATTCTGCCAGTCTAGAGGGGCTTGGACTTGACTGAACCTGCAAACGCGAAGAAGTAGGAATTTATCAGTCGAGGTGGATCTTCTATTAAGCCCAATGTGCCAAGATTCTGATCACACACAACAAAAGCTAACAGTGTGAGGAAATAGGCATTTGATGTCGCATTAGTTTGAAGTCGGCTCTACAAACCCTGAAAGATAAAAAGCAGAACGAATGTATTTTACCAGCCATAAGCAATCGAGATAAATTGAAGTGCCAAAGTTACGACAGAGATTACTGTTGTTCCAGTTCATGGTGTCCTCACAGTCAAATGTTTGTCACGTTGGTGCTGCTTCCAAACCCACAAGCGTCATCGTAACACCCACTCGCCTGTAACCATTTACCGCCACTGCAGAGAACTACCACGAAATAAGTGTGGATCCGGTTTGTTCATGAGTCTGTCTCATGTCAGTGGTAATTGATTTCTGTTAACAACTGATAGCCTCACTCGGCAACGCTTACAGAAGGTCTCTTGAGTTGTCTGGCGATCGCCACTTCCTATTTCGTCTCTGTTCTCGTGTTCTCAACAGGCAAGTTTGTAATGTTGAGCAAAGAATCTACAGCAAATACACGTTTCACGGAGGTTCCGCAGTGTGCCACACCTGGCCACATGGTGTTTTGTTTGTATAGGCTGGCTTTGTACACAGACATTCCCGAGTGTTAGCCACAGTAACTTACTTTTTCAATTATTCCTAACAATGGCTTTAAAACACTTACTAGTGAATTGGCAAATCACTTTAAAGCAACCTATTCCCAGGCTAATTCTTCGTAGTTTCTACGAAAAATTCCCAGAAAAGTCAAATAAACAAGAAATAATTTCTTGGTGATGAATCTTGTGGCTGTGATATGCACAAGACATGAATAAATATGTACAAGCAACTTCGATGTTTTAAAATTAGAACCAACATACACAATTGAATATTTAAATAAGATCAGGAGGGCCTGATCACCTGGAGAAGGGATATGTAAATGTCTAAGCTGCGAGTTGAATCGGATTCTACAATTTACTTACCCCAGAATTATTGAATGATGAAATTTACCTCTAAAAAGTCATTTTCCAATAAACAAGGTGAGCATTGCGGTTACTTGCGTTGATTACTACATCTGTAGGCTAGAGATAAAGGCAAATTACATTGTGGTATTATATATCATTAAAGTAAAACAGGACTGCCAGAACTTGTCATTTGATGGCAGATTATGCCACATTTGTTTAGTGAAAGAAGGCAAACTCTTTGGCCTCCAGTAACAACCAATGGCTAAAACTGGCCCAAATAAGACAAAATGAAAGACATTCCTTGAGCTTTTCTAGACTGGAAGAAGGAAGGTGGATTGGCGGTTGCTGAATATCAGCGTGTTAGCACGATGAGATATTGCAGTCGGTCTAGGGGGTTGCCCGCGTCAATTGATTGGAAATTAATTCAATTTATTGAGGCTGTGACTTGCATTGGCCATCTTTGACAATCCGCTTCTGCTAAAACGCCGTGTTCAAATGTAGCTAACAAATTATTTGAATGTTACACTGACAAGGCGTTGAGATCAGATTTGCCGAATCCGAATCAGTGTACAGGTCTCGGCTAACGTCAACAAGGGCTTCCACCACCATCGGCGACGCCGCAGTCCCTAACAAAGACAACGTAAACCTACACGAGGTCATTGGATCTGATTGATTTTGAGTCGACACGGAACTCAGATGGAGGCGCCAACTATGTCGGTTCAACTTACGCATCATCACCAACAAAGCCGACAGATACCACCGCACACCGATCCTTCTCATCACTCGTCAGAGATACCTCAACTATCAGGCTTCAAATAGAGCCCCCCTAAGAAGGCAATGCCCCCCTTCCCAGGAGGAACAACAGCAACCCTACTCGCCATCACTGCTGAACGTAAACGGTGATGTAGGAGCTGCAGACATGGAATCGTTTGATAACCGGTTCAGGAGAACATATTCCTAAGGATCTGAGCTATGAGGTGGAATGGCACGTGACTGCAAGAGCAAGTGGAGCTTTTGGCAATGTCGACTTAAGCTACGTATCATCATCATCAACAACGTTTAGTAGTCTGATTCCACGGATTCTCAGCATGTAAACGGCGATTAAACTCTCTCTAACATTTGTCCGTAACTCCTAGTTCCAACATACTGACTTCGACCCTAAGCAGTAAGCATCGAGAATACTGTTTAAAAGTTGTTATTTACACGGTTTATTGTCGCAATATTTCCTGCCAAGGATAACACGTGTACTTCTCTCAGTTCAAGATTTTCTTTGTTGTTCTTCTATCCGGAGAGTCACTCTGCTAGGGTCTAAGCCGCTACTGCTATTCGCACCCTCAGTTGACTTGACTCCTGCAAAGACATCCTACTTTTGGGCACCGACAAGCGCAACGTTGACACGACTAGCCAACATTTCTGGGTATTACGGCGATATGTGGACACCGTAGACATGGAGTTGCACTACAGCATATTTCAAGCCAAGCTATCATTAAGGTTCGTTGCAGCAATAAGGTGGAATGGCACGTGACTGCAGGTGCCTCTTAGGTGTTAGCAACAGAAACAACAGCAGACAATGTCTGACAACAGTCACGACTTCATTCCAACTTAGATCCTAGATTCGTTACTTCTAATCCACCTAAGTTTCGCCCAAGTCCAATGCTTGCTACAACACTGTAATAAAAACTGCGCAAAAATGATTTTTTTCGTCCGAAACACCAGACAACATAGAAGCTATGTACAAGAGTGCAGGATGCTCTATGGACAATGCATCACACCACGAGCTGTCGATACAATTGATGGCGCAAAGTATTGGTAGGAAACGGCGGCCATGTCTGTTCAAACATTGCCAGCAGGAGCTTTTTTATGTACACCAAAGCTAATGAGGAGAAGGGCACACCTTCTCCACCATCTGTTTCTTCGCAGTCACCTTGCGCCGTTTTAGCCGATTCCTCTTCAACCTCATCTTCCTCTTTCGCGATGCGGATATCGAACCACTTGACGTCGATTTTTCTTGCTCTTTACCTGGAGCCACTTCAACCGATGGGGCTGCAGCTTGAGGGAACTGCTTCTTTGCATTAAGAATTACTTCTGGCTCCGCAAGATTCGCTGGTGCGGGGTCAATAGAAATACTGTAAATCCTGGCGATGTTTTTGAGGTGACACATGTCCGCAGAGTCGGACACGAAACTGATGGCGAGCCCACGACGACCAAAGCGACCAGATCGTCCGATCCGGTGAAGGTACATGGCAGCCGTCTGGGGCAAGTCATAGTTGATCACCAAGCCGACAGTTTGGACGTCGATTCCGCGTGCCCATATATCCGTGGTGACGAGGATTCGACTACAAGTTTGGCAACAAGTACACCTGAAACTAGTTCTAGGCTTTAAGCAAGCAACTGATCCAGTGCTACACGCCTCCCAAACTTGTTGGTGGATTTACGCTACCGCTAAAAAAGCGATTGTACCAAGACGCATTAGGAAACAACTCACGAAAGTACCTGACATTGCTCCAACACAAAACACACTTTAGAGATCAAAACAAAACCAGATCAAATTCAAACAGGGGTACATTTAGTCGCATAGTAACGACTGCAAATAAATTAACAAGCAAAAAAACGCATTCTGTGACAACTCATTTTGTGAATATTCGCGATTCCTCTAGCCGATTTCCTAATTCCCACAATTAACGCAGCCCACGATTCGATTTATCCGGCTAGGCTCTCACCACCACTGCCCTCCGTGCTCACATCGATCACAGTGTCGTCCCACGTCGATCCAAACAATGGGCGAATGCCTTTGAAAGACGAGCATGCACTGTGGCGAGTGTCTGTGGCAGCACAAAACCACTGGGGACATCAACGCGGAGGACTCACCTGCGGCCCGCACGAAACTGCTTCATCACATGGTCCCTTGTCGCCTGGTCCATGTCGCCGTGGGCGGCGGTCACAGCGAAACCGTCGTTGCGCAGTCGCTCCGACAGCCAGTCGACCTTGCGCCTGGTCCTCACGAACACCACCGTCTGGGCGACGCACGTGGACGCGAAGATGTCCGTGAGCGTGCCGAATTTCCACTCCTCGCCTCCAGTGCTGATGTAGTACTGGGCTATGCCCGAGAGGCTCAACTCGTCCCTAGGCAATACAAACCCACCTGGTTCAGCAGCGTGGCCACCATTAACGAAATCGCATTCACTATTACTACTGACTGCTGTTTCCTCACTCAAATACTCATTCGGTCGTGTGTGTGCATTACTAGCACCTAGCAAGGGGAGTGTGTGGTAATTACCTAGGCACGAGGATGCAGACAGGCTCGGTCAAAAACTGCTGTAACATGTCCCGACAACCCGAAGTCCAGGTGGCTGAAACAACAACCTTTTGCACGGGAGACTTCACCACCGCATTGCCACTATCACCTTCAAACTCTACGACGGAGGACGAGGAAGGGGCGGGGAGACGTCGAAGTATCTGCTCCAGTTGATCGCGGAGGCCCTGGTTCAGCATCTCGTCGGCCTCGTCCACAACAACCACTCGAAGGAACGACAGCTTCAGGCAACCGTTTCGCACGAGTTCTAGCACCAACAATGCAATAAGTTAGCGCTACTTTTCAGAAAATCAACCTTTCTACCGCTTTGCAATTGGTAGGTTGGTTGATTCGTCATTGCAGCCTTGAACCACGGCGCGTGCTTTCACGGTTACTTACAACACACACGATTATGAGGCATAACGGCTAATTTTTTCGTTAACGTTCGGTAACACGCCCTGCTTACTACGACAAAGACAATACCTGTTACTGCATTAATCAGCAAATTTATCTGGCGCCAAGTAGCGGCCGCGTTGTGCGGGGTATAGAGAGCACACAGCGAGTAAATGAAATTGCACAACTCATCCACACTGCACTGGTTCTCCTCTTCGAACTACACCACCGTTCGCCTAGAATTTGTCAACAC